CCAGACCCCCCTGTGGAGTCATCTGCTGCTCTCTTTTGACACCACTAGAAACCTATCAGTCTTCGCTGTTAGGTAATTTACCGAAGTGTCTTGGGGGCCCGCAGGGGGCTTCCCTGGGGGTCCCTTGACGGCCTATTGGGACTTCTGCGGGACCTCTTGGGAGCCTCACGGGGCTTCTTGGGAGCCTCTTGATGGCCTCTGGGGGCGTCCCAGGAGCCTCTCAGGCTGGAGACCTTGAAATGTCGCGCTCTTCGGGCCCTCTTGGGTCGCTCTTGGGGCTCTCTTGGGGCGGTCTCGAGGCCCTCTTGACTTATCTGGGGAGCCTCCTGGGCCGTGTCTGGGCTTTCTTGGGAGTCTCTTCGGCCGTCTTGGAGCGATCTGAAGGGCGTCTGACACGGTCGGGGACCGTGGGGAGGCGGAACATGGGAGAGCGCAAGAATGTTTCAGAAACCATTGGAACGTCCATGATTTTCGGCTTCTGAGGCCCTTTAGACGGGCGTCTGGAAGCGCTCTTGGGGCGTTTTGGCGGCGTCGTCGGCCGTCCTGAGGCCATCTTCGGCATGTCCGGGGCCTCTGGGGGCTGTCTCCGGGCGTCTGGGGAACCCAAGAATCATGTTCCCGGAGAGGCTTCCGGGAACATGATTTCGAGCGAGGCCCTCTTGGGCCTCCTGGAGGCCGTTCTGGGGGCCTCCTGGGCCAGCTTTGGGGCCCGTCTTGGGAGGTTCCGTGAGCCCCACAAAACGACCCTTTTGGGCCGTCTTGGGCCCTCTTGGGTCCCTCTTGGGCTGTCTTGGGGCTCATCAAACGCGTCTGGGGCACTGCGAAGACGAAGCAAGGGAGTATGCTGAAAATGTACGTTTTACTACGGGAACGGGCCGATGTTTGCCTCTTGAAGGCCCTCTTGGGGCCCTCTTCGGTCATCTTCAAGCCATCTCGGGCCCTCTGGGGCCTCGCTGAGGCTGTCCTGGGGCCCTCTAGGGGGCCCTGGGAACTCGGAAATCATGTTCCCGGAGTGGCTTCCGGGAACATGATGTCGAGCGGGGCCCTCTTTCAGGAGGAAAAGAAACACACAGACACAATTAATCCTCGATTTCCCAGAAAAATAATGAGAGAACGAGTGTTGCCCAGGAGTGTCGCCCAGATATGAAGTTCTGAGAGGTCACAGAGCACAAAGTGTGTGACTGTCGCGTGGGATTACTTTGAATGTATCCCGGGATTGCCGTTCCAGACAGCCAGATAGCCCGGCGTGTATACCTGTTCTGTGCGATTTTTCCAAATGTAGCCTGGGAATGGCGTTCTGGGAGGTCTCGGAGCACGAAGTGTGTGACTCTTGCATCCTGTTATTCCGAATGTGGCCTGGGAATGGGGTTCTGGGATGCCAAAGAGCTCGAAATGTGTGACTGTTGCATCCCGTTAATCAGAATGTGGCCCGGGAATGGAGTTCTGGGGTGTCAAGTACGAGGAATTGTCTGACTGTTGCGTCCGGCTATTCCGAATGTGGCCCGGGAATGGCGTTCTGGGAGGTCAAGGAGCACCAAGTGTGTGACTGTTGCATCCGGTTATTCAGAATGTGGCCTGGGAATGGGGTTCTGAGAGGTCGACGAGCACGAAGTGTGTGACTGTTGGTGAAAAACGAGCCCGGCACAGGCCCGGCACCCTGCCGGCCGGCAACTCCCAACGCCTGCCCGGACCCCCCTGTGGAGTGATCTGTGAGCTCTTTTGAGTCAACTAGAAACCTATCAGTCTACGCTGTTAGGTAAAAAGCGAAACGAAGGCAAGAACGAGGGCGAGAACGAAAGCGGAAACGGAGGCGAAACGAAAGCGAAACGAAAGCGAAACGAAGGCGAGAACGAAGGCGAGAACGAGGGCGGGAACGAAAACAAAAACGAAAGCGAAACGAAGGCGAGAACTACGCGAGAAGACCTGGGGATGTGGTTTGGGAACACCCTGTTGGTTTGAGAAGACCCGTGGGGGCTAGTTTGAGAAAACCTGGCTGGTTTGGGAAAGCCCGGGGGGGTAATTTGGGAAAACCCGCTTAGTTTGGGAAGACCCAGGGGCCGGTTTGGGAAGACCCAGTTGGTTTGAGAATCCCCGGCCAATTGGTTTTGGAAGATCGTGGATTCTGGTTTGGAATACCCGTTAAGTTTGGGAGGGCTCGTTTGGTTTGGGAAAACCCAGGCTTGGTTTAGGAAGGCGCAGCGGTCTGGTTCCGCAACATCTGGTTTGGGAAGAACGTTTGGTTTGGGAAAACCCTGCCTCGCCCCCCCCCCCTCCCCTTGGCGCTGAACCTCCCCCCCACCCCGCTTGCGCCGAACAGGGGGCCGTGGAGAAGGCCTCTCCCGCAAGGGGGGGTCTGGCCTCAGGATCTCTGAGTTCCCTAGATTCTGACATTCTGACTCTTTCCCAAGTAGTAAATAGTGAGTCTGGTTCGTAGTTCGTAGTGAGCAGTGAGCAGTGAGTTTTCAATGGTAAGTAGTGGGTAGTCTGTAGTGCGTAGTGAGTCGTGAAAAGTGAGTAGGGCGTAGTGAATAGTGAGTAGTGAGTCGTGAATAGTGAGTACGGAGTGGGGAGTAGGGAGTACGGAGTCGTGAGTAGAGAGTAGTGAGTAGTAAGTAGTGGGTAGTGATTAGCGAGTACTGAACAACGAGTAGAGAGTAGTGAGCCGTGAGTGGCGAGGTGGGGAGTATGGAGTAGTGAGTCGTGAGTAGTGAGTCATGGGTACTGAATAGTGAGTAGTGAGCAGTGTATAGTGAATAGTGGGTTGTGAGTAAGGACGAGTGATTCGTGAGTGGTAAGAGGTAGGGATAAGTGGGTAGAAAAATGATTAGTGAGTAGGGTATGCCGGGTGGTGCATAGTGAGTAGTGAGTCGGGCGTCGTGAGTAGTGGGTAGTGAGAAGCGGGTATAGAGTAGTTGAACAGTGCGTGAAGAGTACTCAGTAGTGAGTAGGAATACCGAGTAGGGGGTAGTGAGTAGTAAGAAGAGATTAGTGAGTAGTGAGTAGCGAGTAGTGGGTAGTGGGTAGTGAGTACTGGGTAGTGAGTAGTGAGTACTGAGTAATCAGTAGCGAGTTAAACCTCATATTGAGTACTGAGTAGTGGAAAACGGATAGTGGGTAGTCAGTAGTGAATAGAGAATAGTAGGTAGTAGGGGGTAGTGAGTACGGAAAGGGCGTTCGATAAGGAATCATTGGATAAGGAATACAGTGTCTGGGAAAGGGGGTGCTCCAATCGTGGATCGGCCATGAATGCCACCGACGCCCTCATCAGATAAGGAAGCCTCCGGAATCTGAGGCCCCCAGCGCAAATTCCTTAACCAACGCCCCCGCCGCAGTGTGTAGTGAATAGTGAGTCGAGAGTAGCGAGTTGGGAGTAGGGAGTTGCGAGTAGTGGGTTGCGAGTAGTGAGTAATGAGTTGCGCGTAGAGGTTAAGATGTTGTGGGTAGTTCGTGGGGAGTAGCGAATAATGAACATTGTGTTGCGAGTAGTGAGTAGCGAAAAAAAACAACACTAAATAGCGCGTAGCGTGTAAGGAGTAGTGAGTAGTGAGTGGAGCGTAGTGAGTAGTGTGAAGCGATGAGTGGGCATTGGGTAGCCGGTAGTGAGTGGTGAGTGGTATGTGGTGACCGGGTTAGGATTAGGGGTGAGGGTAGGGCTAAAGGATTAGGGTTAGGGGTCCTGGCGAAAGGGGGGGAGGGGGGGGTCCGAATTTTGAGTCCAAATGGAGGGACGGGGGGGGTCCGGAACATCCAACCCTTTTCAAAAGGGGGCGGGGGAAGTTTCGTCGACGACGGACCGGGAAAAGGGGGGGGATCCCGACGACGGACCGGGAAAAGGGGGGGGGAGGTCCCGACGACCGACCGGGGAAACGGGGGGGAGGGGTTCCGAACCCCCCCTCTTTGGGGCATCCAGCGGCGCGCCCTCGTTCATGACGACAGACGACAACAGCGACGGCGCCGCCGCCGGCGACGACGATGGCGACAACGACGACGACGACGACGCCGACGACGATTGCGACGATGACGACGACGACGGCGACGCCGACGCCGCTCTTGGTGGGGCCTGGGCGAACGGCGTGATGGGGACGGCGAGGGTCCCATTCTGGGGCCCCAGCACGCCCCCCGCCCTCCAGTGTTAAGTCGGGCCTGTCCCACTACAGGCCGATTTTAAACGAAAAGTTCAAAAAAAGCTCATAAATAGTCAAAACAAAATCCCCAAACTATTTTTGGATTATTTTTGACTCTTCCTCCTGTAGAGGGACAGGCCCGATTGAACTCCAGTGCTCCGCGAGGGGGGGCCCCAGAGCGTGGGCTTCATCGTCATCGCCATCGTCGGCGCTGGCGCCAACGACGGCGTCTACGTCGTCGGCGTCACCGCTGCCGGGAGGAGGGGGATTCGGGAGGAGGATGGGGGGAGGGAGAGGAGGAAGGAGCGAGGATGATCTACAACGATACTGAATGCACCGAGGAGGAGCAGGATGAAGGAGGGATGCGGAGGGGGAGCAGGAAAAACGAGGAGCCGAGAAGCAGCACAAAAAAGCTGTTGCCAATGACCGCTGCCTACTAATCTCCAAGACCGAATGGCCAGGTTGGAGACACAAGACGAAAACTGACGCCCATCGACAGCGCAGTAACCGATCAGGCAACGGACCCCACGTCCTGAACGTACTCCGCACTCTCATGATGGTACTGTACTGGGCCTCCGTTAACGAAAAACAGCAATGAACGACTGGCTCACACTCCGCAGCAGGATGAACTAAGGGGAGGGACGAGGGATGAGGAGCGAGGAGCTGGATAGAGAGAAGGGACGCGGAGAAAATGGTAGAGGAAGAGGAGGAGGAGGAGGCGGAGGAGGAGGAGGAGGAACGAAGGCGCGGGAACAGCAGCGGCGCGACCGGCAGGAAGGAGGAGCGAGGCGTGACGGGAAAAGTGAACAAAGAAAGACGGACGGGGCGGCGGAGGGGACCAGAGACGGAGGAGGCGGCGGAGGTGGAGGCTGTGTCCTCGGTCTCGTACAGCACCGTGGCGTAGCCCTTCGACCTGCCGTCCCAATCCTGGCGCTCTCTGGGGCTGGCTCGGGCGAAGGGGGAAGCGTACTGAGATGTGGCCGGCTGCTTCGGGAGATGTGAATGATCGGGGGAGCCCAAGAGAGGGACGTCCAACAGGGGGAGTAGCAAATCATGGACCGAGGCACGTGCGCGGCCTGGGAAGGGGGGGGATGGACGTATTGAAATAAGGTGAAAGTGGCGCGACCCCAATTCGGGGAAAGCCTGTTGCATGGGCGCATCGCTGGGCGAATCGCTTGGCATTGCTTAGCATTGCTTGGCATTGCGTCGCATTGTTTGGCATTGCCTGGCAAACAGGGAGGGTGAACCCGAGGAACCCGGGAACCCCGAGGAACCCCCCGAGGAACCTCCGAGGAATGGCAGTGGGCAAAGAAACAAAAGGAGGCACCAGGGGCAGGGAACCCAAGGAAACCGGGGAACACGAGGAACCTCCGGGAAACGGGCAACGTAACAATAGGAGGCACGGGGGCGGCGAACCCGAGGAACCTGGGGAACCCGAGGAACGTCCAGCAAATGGGCAATCTAACAATAGGAGGCACAGGGGGCGGGGAACCCGAGGAATCCGAGAAACCCGAGGAACCTCCGAGGAAAGGGCACACTAACAATAGAAAGCACCAACCTTTCACCAAGGAAGAACCCACTAGGCAAGCCTAATTGGGGGAATAGGCGGCACCAACCTTCAACCAAATAAGAACCCTTCAGGCCAACCTGGTTGGGGGAAACTCAAGGGCAATGACATCTAGGAAGATTTCATTCCCCCCCCAGCGATGATATCCCTCCCCCCCTCCATGTGTCATCACCCGTCTCTTGGACGCCCCAGAAATGACGCGCGAGGCGGTCGTCTGGCAAAACTGGGCCAGGCTGCGCGCATCTTGGCGGAACATACATCCGCGCTACAAGACGCGATGTGCGCGGTCCCTCCTGAACCTGGTGTACAAACCGTGGGAGGTCTGTGCTGGCAAGTGGCGGATCGACGTGTGTGTCCGGGAACTGTTCCTGGCCTTACATATGAACCGCACGTGCAAAGTCAGACGCGATCCTGGATGCGTCTGATAAGGGAACTGGGCGAACGAGAGAGACGGAGAGAGATCGCAACATTGCGGGTGCAGTGTCACGCCCAGGCGCGCGGGGTACAAACGCCCTCCGAGCCCTCCTCCTGTGGCGGGAGAGTCCACATGGAAAGCGGGAGCGGGGAGTTTCCGATATACCTAGCGCGGTCCGAACGAGACCCGGGCTGGAAAGCACAGACGGCATGTGGTGACAAGGGCGAGACTCACCCCTTCTTCACCCCCGTGCACAAAGAGAAACCAGCTGCACACGCGTTTTGGCATACGTGCTCGGGCGCCCAAACAATGAAGGCACCACCTTGGGGCATCCCCCGCGACGGCCCGTGCTAGGGTTACAGAAAATTTGCCAGTAATTCGCGCAGCGCACTGAAATGGCGCGCGATCGATGAGCATCAGGGCACGCCTGGTGGCTTACCTCGGGAGAGGCCCCGAGGCGGGCAGGCGATCGGGCCTAGCGAAAGGCGATCCAGGCGGTCTGTGCGAGTTGGGGTATGTCAAGACGGAGTCCTGACTGTCCCATGTGCTAGGCAGTTCGATCCAAAGTCAAGTAGCAAACTGCTTTCGGCGTCGTGATGCTGGTAGTGCGGGCATTCCCTCGGTCGGGGTCAGCAGGTTGACTGGCGGCCGCAGGGCGTTGCGTGGCACGGCCTCGCTCGGCGGCCTGTGATGGGCTCGGTCGGATCCCTCCGCCATCGTAGTTGCTGAGGCCGAGAGGCAGTGGTGCCCTTCACTCTGGTCCCATCACCTACAATCGGGTTGGCAGCACTGGCCGCGCAGACCGCGCCTGGAAGCGGGTGTCTGGTCTGCCTTGGCGTGAACTGCGCGCGTTGTTTGGCCGTTTCATCATCGCCTGGTGGCGGTTGGGTGGGCTGCTTTGGTCAGCCTCACGCAGACGGCCTGGAGGGGTGCATTGCGTTGAAGGCCCTGGTGCGCGGCAGCACTGCCCAGCCCACCGGCTTTGGGCGACGGCACTGGCCCATCAGCCGTCCGAGCCGCGCGCAGCCGCTCTGCCGTCTCGGCCGCCACCGCCTCGCGGCCGCCGCGCAGAGTGGCCAGGTCGCCGGCCCAGAGCCGCTCGCCGTCAGCCCAGGCCCGCGAGCTCTCGTGCAGCGCGGCGGACGACTGCACCGCCACCAGCAGCTCCGCCTGTACCGCCTAGTTGGGCCAGCAGCCAGGCCACGACCTCGCACTGGAACGAGTTCCCGAGGAGCGACAGCCGCATCGCCTCGAACTTCTGTCGCGCTCTTGGCCTGGGCGCTAGTCATGCAGGGGCCGTGTACCCCCGCGGGAAACCCATCAACACCTCGCGGACCTCCGCAGTCGGCGGCTCGATCCGCCCGCCTGTCCAGTGGAGGCAATCCTTGTCCCTGAACTGGTAGGGCGGAGCTGCGTAGCCGGCATCGGCCCAGCGCTAGAACTTGTGGGCTGAGCAGGCCTTGAGCCCCGCGGGCCTCGGCCTCGGCGAGCTGCGCGGCGCCCAGCGCACGAAGGCGGGCAGTCGGCTGTACTGGGTGAGGGCGGACGCCTGCGGCCGGTAGCACTGGGACCTTCGGTGGAGCTCCTTATGGGGCCACGACACTTTGTACTGGGCGTGGCGGACGCAGGCGGGCGGTAGCACTGGGAGCTTCGGTGGAGTTCCCTATGGGGCCACGAAGCGTGTGAGAGGTGTGCCGAAATTGTGGGCCTGCGGAGAGCAGGGCACGGACGGGGGGGGGGAGGAAGAGATGTGGGAAGAGAGGTGGGAGACGCGGGGCGCTGTCTCGTCTCGACGGGGACCCAACAACACAGGAGGGTTGGAAAAAAGGGAGGGTGAGGGAGAGAGAAAGAGAGAAAGAGAGAAAGAGAGGCAGAGTGAGGACAAAGGCGAGAGAGACATAAAAAGAGATGTACACACATATATACATATATAAAATATAAAATATATACATATATGTATATTTATGTACATATGTGTAAAAACACACATATACACAACCATGATCCGGGTGCGACCCCTTGAATGGGGTCTTCTTCCTTCCTTGGAAATTCACAATAGCTCTGAGCAGTGAAACACGATTTAATGCAGATCCTCACTTGGCACTGCTGTGCATGCTTGGCATTGCTTGTCGTTGCTTGGTAGTGCCTGTAATCGTTGCTGGCAAGTTCTTGGTATTGCTTGGCATTGATTCGCATTGCTTGGCATTGCTTGGCACTGCTTGACATAACTTGGCGTTGCATGATCTTGGTTTGAATTGCGTTGCAATGCTTAGCATTGCTTGGCCGTGCGTTGCGTTGCTTGGTAGCATTGCCTGGCAGTGCTGTGCGTTGCATGTATGTATTGGCATTGTTTGACACTGCTTGTTATTGCTTGGCATTGTTCGGCACGTATTGGCGATGTTTGGCGTTGCTTGGCCTTGTCTTTGCATGGCGTGGCACTGGCTTTGCATTGCCTGGCGTGGCCTTGCTTTGCATTGCCTGAATTCGTTGTTTGGTAATGCTCGGCATTGCCTGGCATTGCTTGGCTCTGATGTTGTATCACTTGGCGTTGCGTGGCATTGCTCGACACTGCTTTATACTGGCTGGCATTCCTTAACATTGCTGTGCGCTGCTTGGTTGTGTTTGGCATTGCTTGGCGCTGCTCGGCATGGCTTTGCGTTGTTTGGCATTGCCTGGAATTGGCTGGCACTGCGTAGCATTGTCCTGCCCGGCGTATTGTTTGGCGCTGCCAGGCATCAGCGAGGAGCCTCGAAGAACCGCCTGGGCAATGCCAGCGGGGATGGCCCCGCACCCACCAGTTCCTAGCACAAACAAACGCGAAGCTCTCAGGCAACGCCCTCGGGCAAAACCCTCATGCAAGCCCCACCCTCATCGTTATCGCCATCCGCGTCGCTCCTCGTCCCTCTGCATCCACCTTCCTCCTCTTGGCTCTCCACCCTTCCTGCCTTCCCTCGCCCCCTTCCCCTCCACCTCCCCCTTCTTCTTCCCCTTCTGTCGTCCGTTCCCCGGCCTCCTCCTCCTCCTCCTCCTCCTCCGCCTCCGCCTCCTCCGCCTACTCCGCCTCCTCCTCCACCTCCTCATCCTCCGCCTCCTCCTTCACCGCTGGCGATCCTCCGCGATGTCGACGCGGATCACCTGCCCGTGCTCCTTGAACACGTCCTCGTGACCGGGCGGGATCAAATATTGACATTGACTACACGCAGACGACGCCCAACCCGACGCCCAACCCGACACCCAAGACGACGCCCTACCCGACGCCCGACGCCAAACCCGCCGACACCACCCGACGCCCTCTGGAGCGCACCCAGGCCGTCGCCGGGGAGCGCCCCGGGAGGGCCTCCAGGGAGGGCCCCGCTAAAAGTCCCTAGCGGGTCCTGGGAGGGCTCCAAAGCCCCAGGGTGGGCCACACCACGGTTCCCTCCTGAGCCCATTCGGCGTCTGAGCCCATTCGGCCGCCGAACGGGCTCCCGATGGAGCCCCATCGGCGGCCGAACCGGTCCAATTCCATCGACCCCGTCGAACCCGAGCCCGTTCGGCTGCCCATTCGGCGGCCGAAGGGGCTCCGACGCCGCACGGGCTCAGAAGGGAACTCTGGAGCAGGAGGCCGCAGGGAGTCCTGCGATTACCCAGGAAGCTCCCGAGGGAGCTTCTATGGGAGAGGTTCAAGGAGGCGGGGGGGCTCGGGGAGGGGGCTCTGAAGGGAGGGGGCTCGGGGAGAAAGAGCAGTAGGTTGGTTCGGGAACGGTGGTAAGCTCGGGCAGCAGGGAGGCTCGGGAAGGTGCCTGCGCATGACGCCTACTGGAGGTGTTCAGGAAAGAGGGAAGAGGAGGAGGAGGAGGAGGAGGAGGAGGAGGAGGAGGAGGAGGAGAGAGCCGTTCACGTCCAATGTGCAGTGGCAAGGTGGTGAAAATAACTGACCCTGCAAGGGCGAAAACGACAGCGACGAAGAAATGCGCCAACGACAGCAACAGTGACGACAAAAACGCTGCGAGCATGTGATCTCAAACGCTGGTTTGATCTTCATGTCTTCCCCCCTCTCCATTGTACTAGCCCTCACCGTCTATGGACAAACTGCATGCTTGAGGGGGGATCGTTTCATGCCCATTCCTGGAAGAAGTACTCAACGGCGCACTCTGTATGACAATCACTCCGCCGCGGCCTCCATGCGAGCTAACCACCTCGCGGGCAACTCATGAAGTTGAGCGCGTTTCGAGGAAGTCTCGGACGAGAGCCCCATTCCCGAATAGACTGCGAGGAAGATTCGAGCGGGAGCCGGTGTCGCTGTAGACGGGACTTTACGAACCCGAGTGACATGTGAGAGGGGTCTGAGGCGACAACGCAATTCCCGAGTTTGGAAACACAAGGGCATCTCGGAGAAAGGCTGCGAGGAAGTATTGAAATTGAACGAGGGCCGTTGTCGTCGTAGTTGGGCTGTCACTGCATGAAATGAATTGACAGGAGGTGTCTGGCGAGAGCGCCTCTCTGGGTGACTCACTGGCGTCTTGGAGTAAACTGCGAGGGCGTATCGAGCGGGAGCCGTTTTCGTCGCAGCTAGGCCGCCACCAACTCGAGCGGATGGCGAGGGCGTCTCGATCGAGAGCGCCTTTCCTGAGTGCGGGGGCGTCTCTGGCCAGGGAGTCTCTGAATACAGTGTGCGGGAACATCGAAAGGAAGTCGCTCTGATCGCAGTTTGGCCTGGAACAGAACAGATCTGGAAGCTAACCCGCGCTCGAGTGGCAACCTCGCTTTCGGAGAAACTGTGGCCGTCGTCGAAGCGAGAGCGCCTGGAACCAGAGCCAGGAATCGGCAAAAACTGTTCCTTAGAAACGAACTCAAAGACAGCGGCAGCAAGGGGATAGATGGAAAACAGGGGGAGGGGCGAGGAGTGGGGCGGGGAGAACGTAGGGGGAGAGGGCACGGGGCACGAAGGCAGCGGACAAGGGAGGGGGTGGGGGGGAAGGGGAAGGGAAGCAAGCTGGGTGCTCGCGCGGCATACCTGACAGCCTAACCCTCCCCACCCATCCCTTCCCATTGCGATGACGTTTGTTCTGTCCGCCGACGGGTGTCGTGGCGGACCTGGATCCCCGAAGGTGCCCCGCCGTGTTCTTCGCAGTCAGAGGAAGGAAAGGGGAGCTGCGCAGATGAGAGAACGAGGATGAAGGAGCCCAGGCACACACACACACACATACACACACAAACACACACACACAAAAAACACACACACACGTAAACAGACGCACATCCCAAGATTCCCCCATATGCCCCATCTGTTCTGGATGCCCGTCTCCCCCCGGACTTCCAATATTTTCCCATATGATTTGTCTCTCTGGATGTTCGTCTTCCCCTCCGCTTCCACGATCAGAGTGAGGGGTCGGATTCACTGTCCCTGCGCGTGTGACTGAAGTGAGGTTCTGTGGTGAAGGTTGTTGTTGCTGTTGTTGCTGCTGTTGTTGTTTCCCTCTTTGCTGAAGAAAAACTATTGCTGATCCTTCCCCTCCACAGCAAATTGCGTTTCCAATTGGAGTGCCCTTCCCGGGGCTCGCACCTCGGCTTTTAACACGGAAGCGCGAGGGTCACCAAACTGGCCTCCTAGACCCCGCGTTACAACAAATGGCTCCCGCGCTCTTGCGCGGGACATCCTCAGAATGTATGCAGAAATCGCGCTCTCGCGTGGGACTTTCCCGCAACTTATTCAAACGCCGCGCCCTCGACACTCAGGAATCACGCTCTCGCTTTGGTTTCTCGCACGATTTACTTAATAATCGTACTGTCGCTCGAAACTTCTTCGCGATGTATGCAGGACGCACGCTTCAGCAACCCGCCTGCTCGACCTGTCCGCCTGGGTCCGCCTTCCCGACCCGCCTGTTAGGTTCTGCCAGCCCGATCTGCCCGTCTGGTTCTGCCACGTGTTTTCTGCTCTTAGCAGCCCCTCCTGCTAGTCTCTTTCGTGTTCCATCCTCCTCCCTCCCCCTTGTCTCGTTTTTGCATCCGTCCTCTTCTCCCCTGCCGTAGGGGCTCCATCAAATAGGCGTTCCTGGTAAGAAAGATATACTCCGGAGAGGGCACGATCGAAGACGACGAGGGCGGGTATCAAGGGCTTGGGATATACGCGTTGACTGACAGGCGAGCAGATAAGACCCAACAGCGAGGATAAAAGAGAACAGTGCGAACGGGCTCGTTGTACGTACCACCCCGCAGTTGCGGATAAGAGTGAGGGGACGGCGGGGACGTCGGCATTCTGCGAGGCTCCGAGGAAGCCCGCCGCAGGCGCCTAATCCCACCAGCCCTAGGCGTAGGTGGTCTAGGGAGGCTCCTCGTCCAACCCCCTTCTTCCCTTTCGGAGCGGAGTTTACCCCTCCTCCCTGCCCCTCCCCCTGGACCTGGACGGGGGTGGTCGCGGGTACTTGCAGCGTCCAAGATGGCCCAAGACGGCCCCAATAATGCCTCGGAAAGCCCAAGATGCCCTCCAAGATGGCCCAAGATAGCGCAAGATGCCTCAAAATGGCTCCCGAGATGCCCCAAGAAGCCCCAAGAGCATTCCAAAACGGCCCCAAGAGGCCTCCCATACCTTCATGGAGGCCCCAAAGAAGCCAATGTTTTCAAAAACCTTCAAAACAAGCAATGAATGTTGCTCTCTCGCCTTTTCGCTTCCGGCGGCTATCCGAAGCCTCAAGATGGCTCCAAGCAGCTCAGGGAGAGCCCCGAGAGCGGCCCCGAGAGCGCTCCAAGAGGGGTTTTGGAGGTGATGTTCAGTGCTCCACAGGGGGGAGGCTAAATAGAGCTCCCCTCTTTGTTGATCGATGTCTTCCTAGATGTTGCTGGCCCGTGAGATGGACGGTTCGGAATGCCAAGAATGCGTTGCCAGCATTGGCAATGTAAGGCATCGAACCAGCATCCGTCTGCGCACAACAACAATAAATAATCAAACCAATGTAACAGCTTGCGCAGAACGATGCTGTCATAGATCGTGTGTTTTCGTATCCAGGCAATATATTCGTGCGACAGGAGCTTGCTCATGTGCTTGAAAAGCTTGCTTGGTTTCCCAATATGTTGGGTAGCTCTGCGAACCTTCTCACGTCACATGTCGGCGAGCCTCCCAAATGCACAGCGTCCCAGACAGTCTTAAGATCCACACTACTCGGTGTCGTAATCTTCCGGTTCGCAGAAAGTTGCAAGTGTACTGTTTTCCCTCAATTGAGCTCCGAGCCCTAATTGCGCCCCCCTCAACGATAGCGTTCAACATGTTCCGGCGGTTCGATTGGTGCTGGGATACTTGCAGCGTGTCGTCGGCATGAAAAACACCGCGGGTGACCGCGTATCCGGGCCCCTCGCCCAAATGTTGAGAACCCATTGCGCCGTGCAGCATGACAGTCTGGACTGCTATGAACAATATGGAGAACGCGGGCACCCCTGTGCGATTCCAGCCTTTCGCCGTCTCTCGGTAGAGGCGCCAGAGTGGTCATGAAAAACGAAGAAGCGAGCCGAGTAAAGAGAGCGCACAATCTCCACGATCCCGGTAGGGAGCCCACATCTCCGAGAATGAGAAGTAAGCGGTTATTGCCCATGCGATCCAAGTCGGGTTGTATCCATGACGGTGCCGCTGCCACGCTGCTGTACATAACCTTGACCGTGGTGCCCTGTGGCGGCAATTGAATCGCAAACGTAGCCACGCTCATACGTCGAAGGTGAGACTTGACAAGTCCGGCTCTGCCAATTAATCCGTTTGGGCGGGGCGGCGTCTGGATGTTCGAGACCGTGCCGTATAGTTTCTCGTCGCACAATACAGCTAATCCAAATTTGTATTGACTGTCCGCCTCTTTCGCCATCTGAGCTGTATGGCTGTGGCATGGCCATTGGCACAAGGTGAAGTCCGCATCGGTCGAAGCCATGGCATCGGCGTTCGCCCATGCGTGTTTCAAAAAAACTCCTCAAATCTCCAGGAATATGCGTGCTGTGCGTTGTGGTAGGTGGATGTCATTCCCAGAACCCCCCCAACAAAAAAAATGTAACCATGCGGGTTTTCTTGTCCGAACTGGCCCAATCCCGCTGCAAACCTTTGGGCTGCCTCTTCAAATGCGGCCTAACGAGCGGAGGCGCGAGGAGGAGGAGCAGGAGGAGGAGGAGGAGCACCAGGAGGTGGCGGATGCACAGGAGGACGCGCAGGAGGCAGTGCAGGAGCAGGGGCGCAGCGGCAGGGGCAGGAGGAGCAGGAGGTAAATGAGGAGCAGGAGGAGCAGGAGGAGCAGGAGCAGGACGAGCAGGAAGAGGAACAGGATCACGAGGAGCAGGATGAACACGGAGAGCAGGAGGAGCAGGAGCCAAAGCAGGAGGAGCAGGAGGAGCAGGAGGAGCAGGAGCAGCAAAAACATGAGGAGCAAGAGAAGCAGGAGGAACAGGAGGAGCACGAGGACAAGGGGAAGGCGGATGTGGCGGTGTTTGTTTTCAGACATTCAACCCCCAATGATACGACGCCACTGTCTCGCTATCGCTCGGACGTCCACTCCCTGTACATATTTAGTTGTCCTGCGCTTGCTTTCGCAAGATGATCCAGGATGCTCCTCGATGGTCCTCGTCAATGAAAAAACGCACACATCCAGGCGATGCCAAGATATTCGATTTTCGACTATGGAGTCGGGAGACTGTCCTGCCGCGGGGCTGCCATCGCCCCTTTCAAAAAAATGTGGCGCTGTTGGTAGCTCCCCGCTGTGCGCTTTCTCCTGAACGATAACAGGGGCTCTGAGCGCATTTGTTGGCAGTGCTGGCGGGCGGACTGCAGAGCCGACGGACCGCGCCGGACACAGGGCGCACTAGAGCGTGTGGAAAAGCAAAGAACGGCCGCGAGCGCGACTCGAGAGCCGACGGGCAGCGCGGCAGCGCTGGACACTGGGACGCACGAGAGCGGGTGGCTAAGCACAGAACGGCCGCGGCCGAGGAGAGGGAAAGGATGACCAGGCCGCCGCTCTAGGCTCACACGGATACTTTGGTACAGGACTCGGAGAAATATGTGGCACCTGCATCGATCGCACGGAACAGCAACGCCATACGTCAAGGCCCAGCAACCAGGTGCGCTAAACAAGAACGGCTCCTAACACTGGCCAGTGGAATGCCACCCTTGTCAGTGGCAGCCGTCGTGAAGAGAGGACCACATGTGCATCCGAGGGCATGCTGGGTCCCACGACCTCCTGCCATATCCTACTCCGCACAAAACCCGAATAAACTGCACCATATTTCGCGATCGAGCTAAACAGAGTGCATGCTTGCCAGAGTAGACTCGAAGCAGTGAGCTTGTGCACCCCTGATGTGCGATCTGCGTGGTTCTACGGTGCGACCTATGTGGTGCAAGCTACGTGGTGCACTCGATGTGGCGCACTCCACGTGGTGCACTGCGTCAAATCATGATTTCAGAAAGCTGGGCCAACTTTCCGGAAGTTTCTTCAAACAATTCTGAGCCGACGTGAACACTCACGCTGGAGGGACGAATGTGCTTGAGAAACTGGGCCAGCTTTCCAGCAAATTGGTGAAGAAACGCTGGCCCAGCTTTTCGGGATGAGGTTTCTTAATCATATGTTCGACCGCATGTGACCGCCCACGGTGCGCGCACGAGGCGCGACAAGCGGGCCCGAGCAACGCCTACGGTCGACGCCTTCGTCTTTTGGCAGTCGCGCCCGCGCGGTGGCGCTGCGCGCGGGCGGGGCCGGCCGGAGGGCGGTCGCCTTGAGGTCCTGCCAAGACGTGCGGAACGGCAGGTTGCCCACGTACAGGAGCCGGCCCTGGGTGCAGGGAGGCGGCGCAGAGCAAAACGGGAAGACGAGTAAGGCAAAGGCAGAATTGGACAAAGTCGGACCGATGTAAATCGGATATCTCTGATAATCGGCGGGTGTGGAGGACGTATCGAGCGCCGAGGCCTTTTCAGAGCGTTCTGGAATGCTCTGGAACGGATTTATCTAGATTCGAGGCCCGTCCGAACAAGTGAAAGCAAGATCGCGTAAGGGTAAGAGCGGGGAGCCCTGCGGTAGGCCAGGCTGAGAAACCCTCGCCGCCATCAGATGCATCGACGTCAGATCGTCTCGTATTTGGGCAACTCTGGGAAATTGGAGGTGTTCAACCTGGAATGCCACTCGCGGGAAAAATGTCAAAGCTGTTGCGTCCGCTGCTGCGAGCAGCATCGCCCAAGCTCGCTCGGAACCGTAGCCGCCGATCTTGCGAAATTCGGATTGGGCTGTGGAGGATGAAGAGTAGCAGCGGTCAGAGGAAGAGTACGATAAAGGCGTCAGAAAACAAACCCTTCGGAAGTAGTTATAAACATGAAGTAGGAAGGCGGGTCTCGATTTTCGGCGCGACCCCGAACAAAAACGTAAAAAGGACTCCCTCCCGATTACTCAAATCTGCAAGCCCACGGGGACCAGAAAAAAATCTTTCAACGAACGAACTGCCAGAGCAACAACCACGAAAAACAAACTTTCAACGAACGGCTTGCGAGAGCGAGGATCAGAGCACAGACAAGCGAAGGATGGGGGATGACAACGAGAAGACAGGGTAGACAGGGAACCCGAGGCCGCCCACTTCCGAGGCGGTCTGGCAGCCGTTTCGCCTGAGACCTCCTCACAACTTATTCAGGGATCGGGCCCGCCCCAGTGCCACCATCTGTTGGTCCGGACGGCCACGATCCATCGCACAACTTGCACGAGGGTATACACAGCCGTACGTTTCCGTGGAATCCCTTCTTAGGAGCACTCAGGACTGCACGTCTTCACCAGCCGACACCTTACTCCTCGCCCCGCCGCTTCACCTGTGCTGTTTTTCAGGTGCTTTGGAGCGGGGGTTCGTTTGCTGGCTCTGGGGCCCGGGAGCGGCCGCGGGAGGCCGGACTGGAAAAACGAGGTACGTGGCGTGTCTGGCTCCGCGACGCTGGGGGCTTGGGCCCTGGGCCCTGGGCACACGAGCCGACCGTGGCCACGAGGACCCCCAAAAATCTACAGAATCACTGGTTGTGAGATCGTCTCCTCATCCCCTTTCCCTTGCCCCTTCCCCTTTCCCTCTTCTCCTCCTCCTCCTCCTCCTCCTCCTCCTCCTCCTCATCATCATCATCATCCTCCTCATCCTCCTCCTCCCCCCCGTCCTCTTCCTCATCCTCCTCCTTCTCCTCCTCCTGTTGCTGCAACTCCTCGGGGGGGGGATAGGCAAGGGAACGATAGTTTAGTTTCGTTTTAGGTCGCTACGCTCAACACGAACATTAACGATCAATCACTTGAGCCAAAACGGTTCCGATCGCGACGCACGCCACTATCCTGACCCAGTCGCCCTCGTTCAAAAAATCACCCCCATCGGCCATTACTGGCCGCACCATGACGGGGAAGGTGTTGCAAGTAAAAAAAGTGGCCGGGGCGGGTGAATTTCACGTCGCCCAGATGGGTAACGGTCAATTTCAGCTTAGAAATTAGGTACATGAGCGAATTCGGCCTGCGTAAAGATTCACGGGTCCAACATCCGCACGGAGCATCAACGGTAACATGACTCTTGAATGCGGCGGCTTTCTCGGCAACAGGGCAATCGAAACCAGCAGGTTCTCAGAAGGTGCGGCCAGGCGCGCGCAGGCAACGCAGGAATTGAAGGTCGTCGTTCCTCACGCGGCGGAGCTCGTAACCACTGTTGGGGGTTACCATCCAGCGGCTGCCCTTCAGCCATGCGTCGAAGTCGCGACCTCGCAACTTCACTTGCTACAGACAGATGTGTTGCAGTGGCTCGAACGGTGCCTAACGCCCTGAGCAGTTAACTGTAACCAGCCAGCATGCGCGCTGATGTAACGATCGCTGGTGGAAATCGAAAACTTCGGGGTAACCAGACGACCTCGGGTGGCCCAAGGTCTGCCTGGGTATCATCCCAGTTAACCTGTAGCCCATCGGCAATCTTGATGAAGTAATCGGCTAAATCTTGGGCGGTGGCAGACCTACGGGCCGTGGTGCCCTTCGCGATGTCCACGCGGTCACTCCACGACTCCTCGCGCAGCACTTCAACTCCGATGATGAACAGGTTCCCAGGCCAGCACGTGCCAAACCAAGTCACAACCAGATCCAGCGTCTCCTTTCCTTGTAACTCCGGAAGATCCTGGATGTACAAATTCGAATGCGGAGCGAGACTCGGGATACCTGGACGCGAACGGGCGGCGAAATTTGGGCGCAACTCCGCGAGGCCCCTGGGCGCCTGGGACCCGCGGGGCAACTGGGATAGCAGCGCTGAGATTGACGAACCCATGACTCATGCTGCTCGGCCCTGCGCCCAGAGAGCTCGGTCTGCCGCGCAGGCGGGCTTTCTAACAGCGCCACGGGCGACTGCGGGCACATGTCCCCGAGTGACAACGCGAAGCTCGCCTGAAAACTCTCGCTGTCGTCCCAGGTACCCTAGTTGCCATGAGCGCATGCGAAAAACCCGGGAGCTGGATCGCCGATCCAATTGCCATTGCAAGTGCGCCAGAAATTGCCAGCATCATGACTTGCAATTTTGAACGAGTTCGGATAAGCCGCGAAATTGGTCGCCGTTAACTGGAAGCTCTCGGAAACGCGTGAGCAATGCCATCTTCTGGGACCTCATGATGGCGCGGACCTTGTCGCGAGCGATCTGCTCTCTTGCAACAGGCACATTCGCAGGCAACGGATTGCCCGCGTGAGGTGGGGGAATCGCCCCGGCAGCGCACCCAAAAAACGCGGGGGCCTCCGCGCGGGCTCGTCGGCCGGGACTGGACGCTGGCGCGGGTGGGCCGGCGACCCGCCCACCTCCTTGTCTTCCTCCGTAAGCGCTGCCTGAGGCGCCGTTCGAGGCGGGTCATCTCCGCTCGCTGACGCCCCGCCGCTGCTCAACGCACCTCCTGTTGCGTCGGGCAACAAGTCAGAGCTCCCGCTCTGGCTCCTGCCGCCCCCGCGGGATTGACGATCACCCATCTGGGTCCTGGAATAGCTGCGCTCCTTGGCCGACCCGCCCTCCTCGGTGACCTCGGTCGGCGATGGGCCGGAGAGCGGCAGCCCAGACGTCGGGCTGTCGGATCGCGACGGGGGCCGCAGCTTACAGGCAACCTCTGCGCGGCTGGACTTGCCGCTGGAGACGCAATCGTTCTCGGGGTGCACTCGGTCGGCTATCTCTCCCATGAAAGATGCAACGTCGGCTTTGACTTGAATCTGGGCTGGCCCGGCCAACCGTAGGACGATTCTCGATTCGCCATTGGCTAACTCCGCGGCCCTGGCCACGTTATTCGCGATCTTGCGGTTCAACAACTCGCGCATCCTCGTCGTTGAACCGCGCCAGGATGAGCTGGAGGACCTGCTCCTCGAGCAGCTGGCACGCGCCCTCGGACTGGTCGGGCTCACTCTGAACTTCGCTGAGATCCTCGACGAGCCTGGTGGCTTGTATAAGGGCACTGGTCGCCCCCTGTAAGGCTGCATCTCGGCCCAGAATCAACCGATGCAACCGGCGCGGTTCGTCTCGGACAGCGCGACGCAGCGGCGGGCGCAACCCTCGGCCGCGTCGAACACCAGGCCCGCGCGATTCACGATCCACATCTGCTTGGTCGGGCGTTCCAGGCGATGGCATTTTGCAACTGCGGCAACCAAGAACGAGCCCGACTGCGGCAACGGGCCCCCGGCCAACCAGGAACGTCGCGCTCGGGAGCAGGGCGGCCGTCAGACGACATTTCCACAGCGGCGGCCAGCAAGTTGGTAGAATTTGGGAACTGGGGGGGCAGTAGTAGCATCTCCTTCATCTCGAACAGCGGCGGACATTCAACATTCAATGGCCAGCCCTAGCTGGCGTCTACCTTCAAGCGCGAGCTGACTTGTGCCCCGCGTGCGTTTCCTGCGCAGTCCGTTGCAATCGCACGTGGTTCACGTGCCCGCCAGGTTCTCCTCTGTCGAAGCCCTGACTACCCTTGCGTCTCCTCCTCTGGACTTCTCCTGCAACCACAATTGGCAAACTTCTACGTGCCCCGCCTTTCCTAACCCTCTCCTGCTGGCTATAGCTCCTGCCGCGCAGGTATTGATCTTCAGCGGCAACTCAACCTCGACATCAAAATCATTCAGCGCAGATTGCATGCCTAAACCCGCTGTTGCTTCTTTCACATGGCCATACGACTCTGCTTCATCAGACGATAATCCCAGCATGCTCTGGGTCGAACTCTATGAATTGATGATGTTTTTTTCCCGCAGAACGAACGACTCCCCCACTCGTAGACTTCCTTGACTTATTGCACCCTGCGTAATCTGCGCCCGGCCATGTGACCAACTCCTCGGGCAACTCCTGGCACTTACATTGTTAACTATACATGATGTGCGTTTTAAAATACTTCCCGAGTTTAACTCAGGCTTACCAGGACCCCCTGGCTGGGCGCGGCATGCTTCTGGCAAGCCCCTTCACTGCAAACTAAATATGGGATCGACCCTGCGCCAGATAGCTCTCGCCACCGACGCGCCGATGCACGCCCAGCGGGGGGCAACTCATCCGCATCCTCCTCGCTGTGACGCACCTTTTCTCATGGCAAGTATGATGTGACCCTGGCGCAAAATAAGAGAAGATCCTTCTTGGCGATTCCCGCGCGCCTCTGGTCGGTCTCGCGCCGCGAACCCTCCGCGCCCCACTCGATGACCCGGCTCAAGAGTTCAAGATCCTGATCGACTAGTTCCCCCCCCCCCCCCAGCCCACCCCGAACTCTTCCATGATTTCCAGTCCAAGTCAGCGTCGCCCACAGACAACGCGGAGCCGTCGCCGCGCACGGTGAACCAGGTCT